GTCACAGCGTGGCCATATCATACACTCCCCGTGCAGCCATTCACCCCCCAGCCAACGCGGTCCCTTGCATTGAGAGTTGGATTTTTACCAGATCAGTCTGAATGCCTGCCAAACACAGCCCCAACCTAGAGCTTGGGCCCCTCCAAAGGGCCCCCAGATAGAGCTGATCTGTTTTCAGCTTTTGGACTCTTCTGTAATTTTTGCCCAAGTTCTGTTGAAATGTTAACCTGTGGATGTGGTCCACAAAATTGCAAAACTCTGGTTTAATCTTTAACAGTGTTGGATTTTATAAACTCTAATGTCAAATCTGGAACGTGACCATTAGGTGCAGTTGTCAGGTCAACACAGTGTGTGCTTCCATCAAACAGCAGTCAGACCGCACAGTGTCAGGTGGCTTGAGATGACTTTAGCTGTGATTTGGTGCAATGCAAATAAAACTGAACTGAATATAAAGTAGCATAACTGGGAGTACTCAATTAGGTACAAGTACTTCAACAATAGTACTTTCACCTATGTGTCAGTCGATGTAATTTGTTAGATGTGTGTGAATGTGTCACAGACAGTTTGTGAGTCCAGATATTTCCCTGTGTCCCAGCCTGACACTGAGGAGCAGAGACATCCTCCCAGTCATGGAGGCATTTCACAGGTGACCGACTCCACAGCTGCAGGTCACTCGGTTTGTTCCAACCAGTTTCATTTACACTGGGGAACCAGACTCCCACACGGAGCATTCTGCGAAAATCAAACTGTAACCAGATAAAACGTGGGGTGAGCGAGGGACAGAGGGGCAGAGTGTGAGTTCGCTCACGTTGAACAAGAAGAGAGATTTTCACACTGTTGTCTTGTAGGGTTACCACGGAAAACCAAATTATTTAGTCTTTACAAAAAACAGTTACCGTTACATAAACATCTCACTTTATATCATAAAACTTTGACACTAATGAGACTTTTTATTTTTTAAGTCAATATTATCACAGGGGGTCTCACTGGCACCGACTCAGCCTGGGCTGAGCCAGGTCACGTCTGCCTTCCTGCTTTCAGTAAATCACCTTTTTTGGAGCATTTACAAGAAAAAGTTGTGATATGAACAATATAGTTGTGGTGTGAGAAGTTTCTCTTCCCATCAAGAAAAAGTATTTTAATCACAGCGAGAGCAACACACTACTGACATAAAACTACATGTGAAATATATGCTACCAGTCGGACTAAACGATCAGTTCCCCCAGAACACAGCCAGCATCCTCTAGTGTCCGTGTACACTTCGACGTTTAAGCTGCACAGTGGTAATGAGTGTGTTTGTGTCTGCAGGCTGTGCAGTGAAGGATTATGGGAACTTGACGTTTGAGGAGCTGGTGGATGACAAGCCCATAGGTCTCCTGAAAAATGTGCGGGCGGTGGGCGGCGCCAATCGGAGGTTGTCGGAGGCGGTGCAGGCGGTGAAGAAGGATGGGCACACGTCAGTGATGCTGGGAGGAGACCACAGGTACAAGTACTACTGATAGAAGTTCGCTTTACTGCAGCAGGAGGACTACTACCACACCAGGACAACAATAAAAACACTGCATTAAAAATGTCACATATGTGTGTAAGTACGGCCTTAGGTCCATTTTCTCCGTTTTCTGTAAAACTACAAGTGACTCACATTATTATGGATGAATTGGCTGATCATTTTAGCGATTAATCAGCAGTTCCACCTTTACGTTTTCCAACCAGCATCAAACATGATTCACTTTACTGAGAATTAGGACAAAGAAAAGCAACACGTTCTCTTTTCTGCGCAGCTGCAACGTTTGTGCCAAACTGTGTGAAAGTGTCCTCTGAGCAGTAAGTGACTGATTCTGTCCTCTCTGGCTTCAGTCTGGCCATCGGCTCCATCCACGGTCACTCGGCGGCGGTCGGGGAGCTGAGCGTTCTGTGGGTCGACGCTCATGCCGACATCAACACGCCACTGACTTCTAACACAGGAAACATCCACGGGCAGCCCATGTCCTACCTCCTGCATGAGCTGCAGTCCAAGGTGGGCGTGCCCAGGTGCCGAAGGCCGGTCAGAACCAAACATCCACAGAGTGAGGCTCCGGAGGTTATTAACTGCTAGGCTATTCTCTGTCGGTATCACCAGGTTCCTGTTCTACCACACTTCTCCTGGATCAAACCTTGTGTTTGGGCCAAAGATCTGGTCTACATTGGCCTGAGAGACGTGGACCCAGGAGAGCAGTAAGTGTCTAAGTTCCCCTGAAGTCCTATCCAAACAGAAGACCCACTGACAGGGCAGGGGCCTGGCTGCAGACAGGACCGAGGACTGCGACCTGGGCCGGAGGTGTCATCTCTTTCCATGTGTCTAACCATAAACCTGCCAAGATGAGCAACGTCTGGCTATGACCAGCTCCTTCCTGCTGGGGTTGGCAGTTGGCCTCTTGAGTTCAAGCCCAAACAGTTCTAAGAACAGCAGCGGGTTTGTTTCACAACTAGTTGGCACTAAAGTCAAAGCTCAGCTGAGGCTGATGGGAATGTCTGTAGTTCATAAACCAAAGTACTGCACACGTTAATATGTCGACTTGATGGTGGTGCTAGATGAAAAGTCAGAGGAGCAGCAGAGTCACCACAGTTCATCCTGATGCACACGGTTTCATCACAGTCCACCCGACAGTTGTTGAGATGTTCGAGTCTGGATCGACCAACGTGGCTACAGCTGTTAGCAGAGTCACACATCTGGTTGTCAAATTGAATTTTAGAGACTATTTTTCTCATGTGGATATGGGACAGTGTTTGCAGGGAAACTGAAAAACTTAATTTTCACAGTTACATCCTGAAGCTGCTGGGAGTGAAGGTGTTCTCCATGTCGGAGGTGGATCAGCTCGGTGTGGCCAGAGTCATGGAGGAGACGTGTGACTATCTCTCTGCAAAGTAAGCACGAGGTCTGACCCACGCACACACTCGTAGACTTCAGCACAGGTAGAAGACTGCACTTACATCATTTAATGACTTTATTAACAGTTTTGCTCCTGAATGTAGTAACTGTAAAACACCTGCTCCTGTCAGCAGCTGTTCTGGACTTGTTCAACATTGTTCTGAGCACTTTGACTTAACGGGTTAAAAGTCAAGACTGAAAGTTCATTCTTAAAACATGAACATTTCACCAAGTTTGAGAAAAGTCATTTGAAACAGGAGCGCTCACCATCACTGCTGCTCTTAAAGGGGAAAAAAAGCTACCCTTGTGTACAAGTGGGACGCGGCAGAAAAGACATCCTGAGGAAGGAGAATGCCGACAGCGTTTCATGAGTTAGCCTATGCTTAGTCAAGGCATTTTATTGTCAGCCATCCACGTGAGTGTCTAAATTGCATTTTTTACTACCACTCCCCTCTCATGGATAAGGGTAGATGTTTTCCCCATGTTGATATGAAAAATTAACACTTTGAAAATGTAAATATCTTCCATGAAACCTGTGAAAACTGCTGAAGAAGACTGATCAAAAGCTCCAGAACTACTACTAAATGGACGTGGTGAGAGCGGGGTTCAATCTGTGTTGTGTCTCTGTGCATCACAGAGTAACACAGGTGTTGTCGTACTGTTACAGAGCGAAGAAACCGATTCACCTGAGCTATGACATCGATGCCATTGACCCCTCTGTTACCCCGGCGACCGGGACACCTGTAGCCGGAGGACTCAGCTACAGAGAGGGACTCTACATCACCGAACACATATGTCAGACAGGTACAACAATAATACAATGCCAAACAACCAAAGTAAGGATTTGAGGATACAAAGCGACCACAGTGAGATGGTCTGAGTCTGCTCGTGGTTGTTTGGCAGCTTGTGTCTGATTCGTCTCTTTTTAATGTTGTCAAAAATCAAGTTTGTAATTGAAAACAAACAGGCATCTTTTTTGCAACAAAAAGTCTTGATTGAAAATCAAAGTTTTCATTACAAGTTTAAAAAATTTGTGAGTCAAAAACCTCACATTAGAATACAGTGGGAGGGCTGAGGTGTAATGATGTCTCAGTTGGCCAGTCCATGCTGAGTGACAGCTGTGATGAACCAATGAATGTGGCCCAGGTCTCTGCCCTCTACCATAATAATTCCAGGGACTGACTTGTACGGCGTGGTTTGAATTCTGATCTCATACTCCCAGTAAAATAGAAGTGCATTGCGCTCACCAAAGACACAAACTGGAGGTTCTTATCTCATACTATGAGATCAGGATCTTGTAACTGTGAGGTAATGCAAGGGTTGGAAAGCTGCAGAAGCTGCCTGAGAATCATCGGTTTTAACAAATTCTTTGGTTTCAAAGTAAAGCAGTGATAGTTGTCAATACATCCAGTAGTGCATAGCAGAAGTGAACTCTTCATGGCTGATTCAGTGTACTTAGTGTTCCAAAACCTAAGCAACTGTAGACAACACATGGCCCTGAAAGTTGCTGCCTACAGTGGATTTCTCTACATGTACTGAGGAGGTGGAAAGCTTCAGAACCTCCTTGAGAAACACTGGGTTTTTAGATTTCTGTGAAAAATACACCAAGTAGTTGAACTCTGCAGCGACTCACTTCCAAACAACATCGGTCTAACCTTCACGCCTGTGCTCATTCTGCAGGGCTCCTGTCGGGCGTGGACATGGTGGAGGTGAATCCTCTGAGGAGTCCGACAGAGGATGATGTCCAGTCCACGGTCAACACGGCCATGGACCTGCTGCTCAGCTGTTTCGGGCGTCTCCGTGAAGGGAACCACCCATCACACTACCGCCTGCCTGAGCCTTGACAAGGAGGCGCCGACAGGCACCTGTGAGCGCATCAGATTTTCACGTTAAAATCTTCACAGATGATTACCCAGAATTCCTCAGTGAACTGCACTCATGTTTACCCAAATGTCTGATCTGTGATGCTTTAAACCAAAGACAGTGATGGAGCACCTGCTCTTTGCTGGGAAAAAGTACAAATTGTATAATTTGATTTTATCTACAATGTCACTGTTTTTGATAATTTCATATATAAAATGCCAGAAAATTAAAGAATCCAATCTTCAGATTGCTTTGACCAACAGACCAAAACCCAAACAATTTCAGTTGTAAAGCGTAAAAAAGCAGCAACTCTTCTCATTTGATAGACTGAAGCTATAAACGGTTTGGTATTTGTTTCTTGAAAAACAATTAAGTTGATTTTGTTAAACTTGATGGTTTCAGCTCTAAATGTCAGTGTTTAATTAAAAGCAATATTTAGATTTTGAAAATGCAAAAAAGTACATTTTATCCACTTGTGAAAGTAGTATTCTGGTCCTGTATTTAAGTAAAAATACACTTACTACATAGAAATACTGTTTATAATTACATTAGAACTAAAAAAGTCCTGCATCGAAAATGTTAAGTATGTGAGTATAATCAGGAAAATGTACTTGAAGTCTAAACAGTACTCGGTGCATTAAACAGGTCCTGTGATGTTAAGTTACTGACATTTCAGGCTGATGTGACATATTCAAAGTGGAACAGGTTTAACATTTTGTCTGAACTGATGACTCCTTCCTACGATTAAGTACAGTCAGCAGCAGCGTCTCACTGCACATGGTTTACACAGTGGGCCCTCAGAAATTACTGCACCAACAGAGGAAGTTACATAGCTTCCTTCTTAACGTCACATTTTGACATCTGTCCCCACCAAACACAACAGAGGTGAAACGTCCTTAGCTCATGTAGCATAAAGCAACTAAACATTAAATCTGATGCTTTAATGTCCGTTTGTCATATGGGTAAACTAATGATTAATTTCTCTACACTGTGCTTAATTTCTATGATGCTTGAAGTTTTACATCACGTCCACTTTACTCACCTCCCCAGCAACTATGTCAGGAAGATGCATGATTGTCCTGGCTCTACATCCAAAAGTGAAACCCGAGAACATGAGGGAAGGGTGGGAGACGTGTTTAGTATTTTGAAAAATCCAAACTTAAATCAGAGACAAAATACTGGAGCCTTCGACCACACAGTGCAACCCGACCTTCAGCAGTGGTGATCGCCCAGTTGTCATCGAATCACAAGTGTTCAAGGTTCTGGTTTTTAAAATGAGCTTTTTTGTCAAGTTGAGCTGAAACATCACCACACACTGTACTGTGTATAAATATATGGAGACTAACATTTCCTGATCGCGTGGAAAAAGGTAAGACCTGTACCTGTGCTGTGGCCAGAGTTTGCTGTGATCGCACACTGTGTGAGGGTTTGTAGGCGGGTCAGACAGCAGACCATGGTCTTCTCTGTTGCAGAAGCACTTTATATACTTTATTTCTCCTTATTAGAGATATCATCTTACAGCACACAAAACATCATTCAGTCATTCTTACACTTCTTAACCTCTAGAGTCCTGAGCTTTGGAAACCCAAGCTGTGCGGTCCTCATATGAGGACGCAGGGACTCTAGAGGTTATACAGGAGTGCAACTTCACTTTACACATTGGTATGTATAAAAGCAGTGCTGCGGTCAATACCAACATGTTGTCAGCACACACATGCAGCAGTGACACAGGAGGAGTGTGATGGACAGGTGAACAGCTGCATGTCTGTCAATCAGGGAGAGCAGAGGAGTACGGGATGGGTATGTCCCTGCAGAGAGTGAATGACCTCAAGGCCAAATCGGCTTCAACTCAGCACCACATAGTGCTGGTGGACCAGAGGAGTGTAACCAGTCACAACGTCCTGATGGTGGGAGTGTCACAGAGCCAAAGCACAGACAGGGAGTCAGTCTGCAGCAGTGCGTCGCCTTCGCCTATTAATCTGCCAGTCAAAGCTACTGGTCTTCCTGAGGCCTGCTGACACAACAAGTACCAACAACAGCCAAACACAATTATTAAACAGACTACATTTAAACTAAGTATGAATGCTGAGTCATGGGTTCTGATGGGTGTGTCTCAACCGTGCAGTTTTTTCTGAAGCACTATTCTTCCCGTCTTCAGGGAGTTTTGAAAGCATTTCTGTTCTGCCCTGCTTTTCAAAATAAGAGCATGTAGTCACTTATCAGCAAGATCATTTGTTTGCACAATTGGGCCAGAAGTAAATTCTGGGGTTTGGACTTCTTTGTTAAACCAAACTATACATGCAGCAACAGGTGACTGTATTACTATATTAGTTATTATGACAGGTACAATGATTTCATCAATCATTGGTTGCTTGGTTTATAAAAAAATAAAAAATAAAAAATAAAAAAATCACAGCATTCTGAGTCTAAGCTGACACGTTCAAGTGTCTTGTCTTAATCAACCAGCAATAGAAAACTCAAAGATGTTTACTATGAAAAAGAAAACTTGCTATATTCTGAGAAGCTAGACCTAATGAATAAATAAAAATAAAAAAATAAAAAAGATTCAAAACTGATCATTTCCTTTCAATTAACTAATCAAATCACTGCCAGCTTTACTTACATTTACAGCTTATTACTTGCATCTAGTTTCTATTAATAACAGTAGACTAAATTTGAGAAATATACGCTAACAAAGACTTAAATGCGTCAATAAATAATTTACATTATTTAACAATTAAACCTAGCAAACATTTGCTGGTTGCAGCTTCTCCAATCTGCGGATTCTTTGTTTTTTTAATCACTAGAACCTGAATATCTTTGGTTCTGGTGATCACACAAAACAAGACATTTGTCAATGTCACCTTAGACGGTTTTCAAATATGTGTAACATCTTAAAGGCGAAATGATTAATCAGAAAGGTAAACAGATTAACAAATCAATAATCAGTTGCATCCCACATTAGAACAACTCTGTCTAGTGCAATACAGCAGCACAAACTACACACTGCATTAAAAGCTGTAAGATAAAAGGCAGACGTTGACATGAGAAACAGCTGCTATAAAACAACACAGCTGGATGGCTCTGTTAAACCAGTAGTCATCACTGTAACAGTCCCAGAACTTTAGGTAAGTTTAAGAAAACATGGCAAAAACAGTAACAGAAGGCACCGACCCCGAAACATAATGGGACCCAAATGAAAAGTCCTAGATTATATAAACTGATGGTTTCAGGTAAAACATGTTCAGTGTCAATGATCACAACTCCAGAAATGAGCTCTCGTCACTGGAAACTTGTTTCTGATTACCGGCTCTTACTGTTAGTGGAACCCTACCATACATCAAGAGGCTCGCTCACACTGGTGCAATCGAGGTAGCTGTGTCCGATCACCGGTGCCGCCAGAAGAGGAGGAGCAGCAGTGTTGATGAGTCGGAGGTCAGTCCGTCTCCTGGAGGCCACAGCGCCTCCTGAACTCCTGCCCTCGCTCATGGATCCACTTATTAGACACTGCAGACAGAGATGAGAGCAGCTCCACCTGACGTTTCACTGATCCAAGCAGAGTTCTTTGGGCTACTACAGCTCTTGATCAGTAAAAACTACATCTCTCTTGTGCAGACGCTGAGTCAGCGCCTCCTCTCAGGCTGAACCCAGTGACCAGGGTGTCGGCCTGAATGGGGCTGAGTCAGCGGCTGCAGAATGAACAGCGGTTTACGTGCCAGAGGCGTCATGAACTCACCCCACTTGTTTCCGACCAGAACAGGACAGGCAGCGTGTCTGGTCCGGTAGTCTCCTTCTCCACTGGGGTGCAGGTTGTACCAGAACACGGCTGAGCCCTGGAAACACAGCCCCCAACCCTCAGGTCACTGTTTTACTGTGCACCGGAAAGGTTTCTGCAGCAAGCATCTGTTTGACTGCAGCTGGTTCAGGCCCTGTGGCCATTCCTGAACAGAACTCTTTCTGCTTCTAACTCTGTCACCGCTCATTTAAGTGCCAGCACAGCTGCTGCCATTATCATATCTTTCAGTTTGTATGATGATGTATTTATAGAATAATGATGTTATTTACTGCCCATCACATTGGTGATACTGCTGGCCTACACAGCAGCGCATTTATGAGTCTCACTCCCCGTCTCTCCATTTGTTCCTCCGTCTCTCTCACACCAGTAACAAACTTGAACAATTCCTTAATGAATGGAAAACAACCTATGGACTGGTCAGTAATGAAGTGTACCTTTTTGGGCCAGACAGCAACTCCTATATCAGTGAAAACTGTGGCGCCCCCTGCCTGCACGTCACTCATCTGCACATGGAGGAGGACACAGTTTATCCATGTGCAGTCTGAGCTGCAGCACTTCAACAACATTTCAAATAGAGAGTGATGGTACTAACGTAAAGCAGCCAGGTGGCGATTCGGTTTCCTGTCCCCAGCTCTTCAAAGGCATCGGGTTCGTCTTTCTGCCAAACACACAAACAGGAACCACATGAGTCGGTGGTTCTCAACCTGTGGCTCAGACTGCCTGCATGGTGGCCCTGTGAGTGTTCTCTGCTTTTGGAAATCATAATTTACAACGTGGTTCAGAAAGCCAAAACCATTAGTCAAATAATCACAAACCGACTGAGAATTATTTGTTTTAATCCTTTTTAACATCATTCTCTCAAATGTGATGATCTGCTGCATTTCTTTAGGATAGCAAACTGAGTATCTTTAACTTTTCACCCAGTTGTGAAGAACATTTCTTTTCTTACTTTTCATAAACAAATTAGCTAAGAACAAAATCAGAAACTTAGTTGATGACAAAAATAACTGTGCCATAAGTATGTGGACACTTGTCTGCATGAAATCTGTGTACTTGTGATCTGGGTCTGCTCATCCAGCTTTGGTCTAGGCTTAATGCTGAAGCATACAATCAGTCAGGGCTGAAAGATTAAATCACTAAATGACTGCAAATATGAAGCAGTTCGTCCATTAGACATACCCTCCCAACCCGTTTCTCAAGGAGAAAAAACTTATTTACCCGTCCAAAGTCGAAATGAGGCTCGTACTGCCCTCCGACGCCATAGTTAGCCACCTGTATCCGCACACAAGGGAAGTCAGATTTAACACAAAGGTAAATTTAAAAATATTCAGCAGAGAACCTGAATGTGCATGCTGTGATGCTTTTGTTCAAGTTACTAAGACTTATTACATTTACTCCACTATGTGTACAGTGTCAACAGTTTTTAGCTTAAACACCCCAAATACATTTAACCTGTGTTATAAACCGTTATATATTATTTTTATGTGATTGTTTGTATAGTTTAAGGGCTTTTTATAATAAGGGTAATGTTTTTTTGTACATTTTAAGATGTTTGATCCACTTAAAGGCCTTTAATTCATTTAAATCCACTTAATATATTACAATTAAACCCTTATTCGACCGATTCTTTGTATCTTCTCTGTATTAATTATTAAAAACTATTAATTAAAAATTGACTAGTATTTAGTGCAGTACTACTGAATATAGTGGACATTTTATATGGTTTGAAGGAGTTTGCACACCACACTGTGGGTCTGTCATACACGACCTAATGATAAAAACTTCAGGTATCCAGGTGAGCAGTACCTGCAGGTCCTCAGCTGTGGTGACGTCCAGGCCGGTGAGGTCCCCGATCCTCTGGTTTATCTGATCCACCACTGGATGTTCATACGCTCCGAGCCACGCGCTGACAGAGGAGAGACAGGAAGAAATGATGTGAGACACAGTCTGTCTGTTCAGTCAGAAACATCAAAGTGAATACTGAGGCATTAGCAGACAGAACATGACCAATAGGAAGAAAGACATGCAAGCTGAAGAGAAGAAGTGACTGAACTCTCAGTGAACATAAGTGAGCACATCACACATTTATTCACAGGTAAAAGTCAAAAAAATAAATAAATAAAGAAATGAAGACCTGCTCAAGTCTGTCTGGCCAACCTTGTTTTTTGGGGTAATTACTACAGTTTGGATTTTTGTCTTTAAAGAAAGGACACAGTAGGTATATTTTTTTTTTAATTGAGTCTAAAAAAGGTTTAATAAAGATCGCGCTGCCTCGTGTTACAGTGAGCTGCAGTGCTGACTCCTCACACTGCTGTGAATTTAATAAACTGAGCACAATCAATATGCAGTTATAGTTTTTATTGATTAGGGTGTTAGTGTAACAGAGTAAGTTGCTGTAGTATAACATAAACATGGTGTTCACACAATCATGTCAAAAAACGTTTATACTGCAACATAAAAAGTAAATATGGATGGATATTTTCACTCCCATTATTCTTCCTGGTCTTAACGTCTCTCTGGGAATAATCATCCTCTGAAGTTGTGGAACTACAGTTCCCATAATGCTTTTGGTGACATTAACAGAAGTATAATATTGCTAGCTAGCACAGTTAAAAGCAGAGCTACAACAATGGCACAAAATTTATCTGCAACTATTCTGATATCTGAGTCGTTGTTTCAGCTCTTTTTTAAAAAACAATACCAAAAATGATCTGGTCACAGCTTCTCCATGGTGATTATGTCCTGGTTTTGTTTTATCACTGTAAACTGCTGCTGGGACAAAACAAGAAATTAGATGGGTGTCTGACACTTTACAGACAAAACCATGAACTGATTAACTGAGATTAATCAGTGATGAAACTGATTGTTAGTTGCAGTTAAACCTATGCTAAATGCTCAGCTCCTGTCTGCAGTGTACCCATGGATGGACAACGGTCACTGGATCACTGTGGTACTGCAGACAGCTGGATGAAAACTATGATTTCTAAGTGGACATTTCTTTACAATTCAAGATAAATATATCCTGAAAAAGTGCAACTAATACTGAATCTCAAAACGTGTGAATCGAGCATCTGTGTGTGAGCAACGACTCCCACGGCTGCAGCGCCATCTGTTGACCGTGTCCATGAGCAGAGAAACCATCAGCCAAACACAGTAACTTCCTGTTTTCAGAACACCTGTATACACCTGTCCCTTTCATCTCACACAGTATCCTTGTCTCCTGTCTCTCCCTCCACAGCCCCCTCTAACTCAGCAGTGTGAAGCTGCCCTTCAGCTCTTACCTCTTGGAGACTCTGTAATGGGCCGTGGTCAGTTTGCCTGTCTGAGGGTCATGCACCGTGGCACGTCTGAGCTAGCTCAACGGTCACATTGTTTTACAGAGAGAGAGAGAGACAGGGGAGAGAGAGAGAGAGAGAGAGAGAGAGAGAGATCACCAGCTGACACAGAGATGCTGCAGTCAGGGAGGCAGCAGGGAGCTCCGGGTCAGAAACTTCAAGTTCTGCTGCAAGGGTTTGTCCTGCTCATATGCAGCTCCTACCTGCACACTTCTGACAGCTTAGTACAAAGACATCCTTATCTTAAATAAGTGATCCAATTAGATGCAACACCCTAAACATGTCCCACGCAATAACACGTACACAGATGCTTCTAGCTAGGCAAGATCGATTTCAGCCATTGTTGCGTTCTTGTGTGTATTACCTGAAAAATCTTAACCCGGAAATGTTTTATTTAAGGTCAGTGCACATTCCTCCATAGACGCTATGTTTGTTTACTACTGAGGTCATGGAAGCACTCGGAGCTTTGAACAGGCTACATCACCTCAATGTGGACTGAGACCGGGTAGTGCACGATGTGTTAGTCCACCAGCGTCATGTGTTCGTGCTGGCCGTTTACATGCTCGCATGCAGCACATTTGGGGTCTGATGGTGCGGCTTGCCTACGCGTTGACTCGCGTACAGGAGAACCTGCAGCAGGCATGAAGCTGTGTGACACGTCAGATCCTCCTGCTGCCTCCAGGATGAAGTAAAAGACACAATGATAGACAAACATCTGACTCTACTTTCTCCCTCCTATGGAAACAAAAGGTGTTTTATACCTGGCAAGAGCAGCAAGGCAAAAATCTGAACTTTAACATCTCCACAGGAGATGTAAGTTTTCCACAAGCAAATCTTGTGTTACTATGAAAATGATCACAAAGAGTTTACCATTAAATGTCTAAGAATATTTTCACTGCCAGTCAAAATGACTGAACACATTTTTTCTCATCTGAATGAGAAAGTGTGTCCCAATTTGTACTGATAGTGTAAATGCTGGCTGGGACTGGGACTACTTATTGTTTTAACAATGATGATTGATAAATATGAATTAAATAAAGAACACGGAGGAGGCTGTGACTGATGTTTTCGTTTTGGGGCATGGTTTCTCCAAAAGTAAGAAGTCGGAGCCATATTTGCTCCAGGGAGTATCTTAGCTGAAGTCATTCTTTAGATAAGGACAGCGTCATTTCATCACAAATATTCTGTCCTAAATCCATTTATTTTATCTGAATGTACCTGGTCCCTGCCCTGCTGCTGTTCATAATTCATAAACACAGCTGAGGAGCCAAACTGTTACCGACAGTTACAAGGAGACAGTCCGACTCCCTTATGCACCCACACTCGTTCATCATACTGACATGCTGTCTGTTAGGATGGCATTATTCTTGCTCACTAAGTCCCCAAGTCCTCAAAACACTGAAACAGTTTCCGCACACCTTGTGCGACATGTGTGCTGGAGGAGACGACTCCCACACTCTGTCTCACTTTATTAGTACGTCTTGTTCTGTTTGAGACGTGAACTTTAACAGACAAACATCAGTGAGTGGCTTCAGAAAGGATTCACACCTCTTCAGTTACTGCACACTTTGTGCTGTAGACTTAACCACAAATAGATAAAAATGCCATTTTGTCTATTCATCTACACTTAATTACCCATATTGACAAAAGTGAACATTCTTAGAAATGCCTGCTAATTCGTTAAAAATCAAAACGCAAAAGGCAGTTTTATCCATTTAAGTTTAACTCTACAACACAACAAGTGTGCAAAAGTGAAGGGTTTAAACACTTTCTGAAGATTTACATCCTCAGTGAAAACACTGAATGAAATAGGAAAAACTGCTCACAGGAAACGGTTTCCTACACGTGTTGAACTGAAAGTAAAACTCCACAAGGAGCCTTCACACCGCCTCTGCAGTGACTGACTCACCCTGGGTTTGGCCAGCTCTTTGACCTTCTCCATCTCTTTGTCCGACACAATGTTGTGATACCGGACAATGTGGGGGCGGTCCCACTCATCTTCCTGCTTCACCGGACCTATCACGTACCTCGGGTGGTGGTTGTTGTCATAGTAACGGCAGAAAAGGTGGCTCTCTCTGCGAGGATTCTGACAAAAAGAAAGAAGGAAGAAAGTAAAGCTAAGGACTACTATGATATGGAGCGTGTGTTCATGTGTTTCCTGACTCTCCTCACCATCCTGAGGCCCTCGCCACGACACAGCTGTTCATACGTCTTCCTCTCTGGCAGGTAATCGTCAGGTTGACCCCGGGTCTCCCTCCTCTGCCTCCCCTCAGCCTCCCCCTCAGTCCTCTCCTCCACCTTTTTCTGTTTGCTCAGCTGATACTCAAAGTACTTCAGGTTCCCATTGGCTCGCTGATGCATCGGGTCTAAACAGATAAAACCGTCACCCAGCTCAGTCAAACAGTAAGACTGTGAAGCCCTGAGCTCAATGGGGAACGTAATTAATGTTGACAGACTTAACAGGCTTAGTATTTTACACGTTCCTATTTCCACTCCACAAGTCCAAAACCTGAAAACAGATTTGCGCACCATACATAACTGGGTTCTTTCTTCTGTCAAGGTCAAAGTGTTTATTTGTCATATGCACAGTTAGGAAACATGTTTCCCTGTACAATGAAATTCTTACTTTGCCGTCCACATGAATGCCAGAAAATACAAGTCAAAATATAAAGTAGATGAGCAAAAACACAAATCTAAATAGGCAGTAACAGAAACCTAAGGTACTTTAAAGCAGCAAGTTAAGGAAGCAAATAAAAATGGGGTATGAACAGTCCATGCTGGGGGTGAGTGGGGTCCTTGAGGATGAAGGCAGCTTTCCTACGCACCCTGTGGTGGTAAATGCTCTGCAGAGAGGGCAGTGGAGTCCTGGTGATCTTCTCCACAGTCTTTACCACTCTCTGCAGGCGCTTGCGGTCCATAGCAGTAGTGCTGCGAACAGTGGCCGATGAGATTCCCTCTCCTTCCTCATGTCCACTATCATCTCCTTCGTCTTGTCCGTGTTGAAGGTGAGATTATTGTCCTCACAACATAACACCAGACCGGCCACCTCCCTCCTGTAGGCTGCTTTGTCCCCAAAAGTGATGCGACCTATCACTGTCACCTATCACTGTCATCTCCCATTAATCATCCAATGACCCCTCACATTTCTCTTGAGATCCTTGAAGGGGCCCAACCCCTAGGTTGAGAACCATTGGGCTAAACTATTCACAGATATCGGACACAGGAGACATTCTACTGCAGAATGAGTACATTTACTTGTGATACTTTAAATGCAGCTGATAACAATTCTGCCCTTTGATTAAATAAGATTTTTAATCCAGAACTTTTACTTGTAATGGAGCAATAGTTTGTTGTACTGGGAGGGTCTGAGTACTTCTCCCACCACTTTTGCAGTCTACAATGGTCACAAAAATACCAAACCGACAAGTCTTTGTGTTGTCACAAAAACAGAGCCTATCTCTTTAACATTCACACTGAGCGGCCCACTGGTACACCTGGACACAACCTGCCTGGTCTTAAAACAGACAGAGGTGTGTGTACGGCATTACCCACCGAGCCCCAGCAGCCTCTTGGTAAACTGCAGCGCCCTCTCCAGGTCCCCCTGCTGGTAGACAGAGTAGCTCAGGTAGTCCAGGATGGTGACAGCATCCACAGCACTGGACATCTCTCCCTGGTCCAGCTGCTTCAGGGCCTGAACCATCCACAGCCCTGTGTGGTAGTAATCTGCCTCCGAGTATGCCACCTTCCCGAGGTCATAGCAGTCATCCACAGTCAAAGAGGCCTGGTGCGAGGCGGCCGAGGACAAGCCTGAGCAGGCGAGATGGGGAAAAACTGCTGAAGAGTTTTTTAAATTTCAGTCAAGCTGGGAATTCAGAAACAAAAATATCATACCATCTCTCCTCTGTTTGTTTCTCTCACTTTAAATTGTACACCAGCCCTTTGCTAATGGAATTCATTTATTAAAGGAAATTATGACCAGTGATAATTCCATTAAAACTGTTGACAAGCTACATTTAACAAAACTAAAACTAAACAAAGAGTACCCTGCTGAGTAAAACAGATGCCTCCAGCAGCCAAAACCTCTATTGTTCAGACAACAAATTAGCTGCATGACCTGTTGCACTGCCGTTAATTAGAAGTACGCTACACCCACTAATGTTCTGTCCAGGTCAGCTGACGTTAGCGCTTCCTGGAGGAAACTGGTTTATGAACTTAATTCATCTACACTACACTGAGAATTAGACAAGGAGATACAAACACAGCTGAGATAAGCAAAATGCAGCTGCCAACATTTATGAACAAGTCAGATCACTGAACAGGAAGCGCTGTGGACGTGACGTTAATGTTACTATCAGTCAGATGTCAATCAATGTGGGCAGGCGACCATCTAAACCTTCCTCTAGATGTGGACTAAACAAATGTCACTGTGTCCATGTTCTCCCACGGTTTAGCTTCTCCTTTCAGGCTGAACCCAGTGAACAGGGTTTCAGTGCAAATGGGACTGGACCAGACCAGCTGCTGCAGTGGAGAGAACAGGTAGCTGTGCTAACGCTAATGCTAGATGAGCAGAGACAGTGATTCAGTGTTTATAATAAAAACTGAATTGAGTGAGGCGAGTCGGCTTGTGTTGCTGCAGAGTCACACCGACACCAAGTTTGAGGACAAGTGAACACCAGTAACCATGGAAACATTGGATAACAAAGATGGTGGCAGCTGGGACCTTGAGACAAACACTAAAAATGCATAAAGGAATGAGACTCAAATGTCAGTTGTGAAAGCTAAAATGTCTTTGGTAACAAAACACAAATGAGTGTGGCTAAAACTAATGAGCATCTGTCAAAATATTATTTCAGTCTGGTGTTTCTACTAGAGCAGCAGACTTACATTTACACTGTAAGCTGTGATTAGCAGGAAATGGAGTGAACACTTCTTGTAATGTTTAAACAAATGTCTGCAGTAAACTTCATGTCTAATCATAAAAGATGAAGATAGACAGAGTAAGTGAAACAAAACTAAAACTCTGTCCCAGATTTCACATATGAGCCTGCTGTCCTCGGATGCCCAGGCGCAGTGGTTGTGCTGACCTGGCAGCTGTCCGGTGGAGATGGTGTTGGTGTCCAGCTGGTAGGTGTCCTGCAGCCTCATTAGAGCTTTGGCAGCTCCTGCCTGATCTTCATCATTAGGAAAGTACTGCCTTTGGATGGTGAGGTTGGAGATGAACACTGAAACACCACAGAAGAAGAACATGCACATAAACAATCTGGAGAGGAACAGCTGGAAATTAAACATCTGGATCAAGTTATCAGCTGTTCTGCCAAAATGCTTTCCTTTAATTTCTCCAGAAAATGAGTTTCTGCATCTGTTTCTACTCACTGTATTCAATAATCACAAAGAGAAGTAACAGAATCGAGGTGAGAGTAACGGTAAAAGTCATCAACAGTGCTCATGTCACGAGCAGTTTGGGCTGCTCTCTGGTGATACCACAGAACAGAAGTATCTGTCACCTTTCAACCACACCAACAAATACAAAATAAAAATGTGCAGTGCAGCTCTGTGTGTACATACAGTACACCTCCTCCTGTGTGTGGAGTAAAAAGACACAAAAAAACAGAGCTGTTCTTCAAAATGTCAACCTAAAACCTCCACAGGGTTCCTTCAACTTGGGCATCAAAGTGTCCTGGGGTCAGGATAGTTATTGGGTTAGAGTTAAACCCTTAGTTGTGATGGTTAAGACTGGGGTAAGGGGTTGGGGGATGGTGGATGAAAGTCAAGTGTGTGTTTACCATCAGACATGTCGGTGAGCACCAGGCTCTCCAGCTCCCCCCATTCTGTGTTGAGTCTCTTCATCAGTTTGAAGGCGTTCACTGGGTTCCCCAGGAAACCTTCAGGGTCCTGAGTGGCAGCAGCAGAGAGGACGTGTAGTTTGTCGGCCCATCTGCACACAAACAACACACACAATTGTACTTTGTGATCTGACCGAAATCCTTCATCTGTTCAAACTGAATCCATGTATCTGCGGAGCAGCTCCTCAGTGGAGTCTTACTGTTTGATCAGCTCCAGCTTGTTCTCCTCCACTCTGATGTAGGCCTTCAGAGAGGTGACCAGGTCCTTCTCTATGAACAGCAGGTCAGTCATCTGGCCTGGGGACACATGGACACAGCAGTCACTTTATTCAAGGTTTGTCTTGTGTGTCCTGATGATCTGAAGAGTAGTTTGAACTCTACTTATCAAAATGTTACTGAAGGACCAGTATCTCCCAAATTCCAAAAAACACATTTTCTCCCTTTTAAGGCTGCAACTAAAAAAACCTTTTTATTTTGTTAATTTGTAGATTGTTTTCTTGGATAACTATTTGCATGGCAACTGACACAGGGGGGAGGTTTCATTCATAATCCACACATTTAGGATGCCAGGACCAGCCAGCAAAGATGTTTTGTCTGCTTAAAAATATAACAAATGATTGTATGATTATAAACAGTTTGAGTCATGTTTTGATTATCATTGCAATAACTGTTCTTGTTGCAGCTATTGAAAATATTCATTCATCTGACAATCCATAGTCTGTGAATTTCTCCTATCTATCAAAATTGTTGTTGATTATTTCCCATCCCATTAATTTTCTGTCAATCAAATAATCAATTAACCATTTCAGCTGTATTCAGTCAGATAGTTTTGGTTTTATTTGTCCACAAGACCTCAATTTCTGAGATTTCTGCCTCCAGGACAATACAGTGTGGGTGAATTTGAGTGAACTGCCCCTTTAAAAACAAATAAATGGCATCAGTGTTCTTTGGTTTGAGCCACAGCAGAAACTTTTCTTATTCATTAAGTAGAAACAGGGACAGTGTCTCCATGTTTATGAAAGGTTTCACACAGAAAGAGTTTACAGAGCTTTCCAGCAGAGTAGGACTTGTGAATTAACAGGAGCAAAAGCAAAAAGTGATTTACTCACCAGTGGAGGTGAAGAGGTCACTGTGAGCTGAGGAGCAAGCAAAGAGGACACAGTGGATCAACAGCCACCAACATCCAGCCATTCAGCCTGCAGACACAAGCTGCAACCCAATGACGAAGAGATGGAGGATTTGAAAACCCCTGTATAGTACCTTAACACTTTTGTGACCATGGAACAAAAGGCAATAATCCCACACACTGTCCCTAACTTGTACTGACTTTGCTTTTTTTTTTCCTGTTTCCTTGCCTTTAACATCAATCATAAATTTGTTGACCCGATAGCCTTTTTTTCCTTTAACATCAATCATTTGATGTCACAAAACATGTCATAAGTTTCAGTGCAACATCAGACCCAATACTGAAGCACAGTCATGCATCAAAACTCTATTTCTGTCTACATATTTTGATCAATTGCAGTTATGTTAGAACTCTGTACCACTGAACCATTTTATCCAAGTGCTGTAATTTTTTCCTGTGTCAAGTAATTAAAAGACAGAAAACCTCAGGGAAGGTAGTATTACTCCAACCAGCAATTATTTTCATTACCAATACACCTAACAATTATTTCTAACTGATTGATCGTCGAGTGAATGTCAGGAAATAATGAAAAAAGTGCTATCATTATTCCCTTAAGCCTGAGCAAATACATTCAAATGTCTTGTTTTGTCTGCCCAGATGTCAAACCCCAACAAGTTTGAGTTTGTTCAAATGTTCATACTGTATTTCAGAAGCTGGTATCAGTGTTAGTCCGTTTTCTGATTAGTCAATCTAATCATTTTAATCTTGGGTGTCTGGGAAAACAATGACACACACGTAACTGTTCAAGTAATCTACAAAGACTACAGCACCCAATCCCAAAATAACCAACCTACATATATTTCCGGATTTTGGTTATGAATTCCCTGTTATCTGTATATTTGTAAAGCAGTGTTTAAGTTATGCTAGTTAATCACAAAATAAAATAAAATGTAACTTTTTGTGGGTATGGCACTAAACTAAACAGTTTACAACTTTAAATAACATTATTAAAAATTACCACTAAACGGTGAACTTCACATGACTGATTGAACTGGGAGGATTTATCTGACTGGGAGGACGTTACAGACTAGAATAAGACAAATATAAACGTGAAGATAAAACGCTAAGGTTTAATGCTGTTTGTGGGAGGAGGTCGAAGCAGCCGAGGAAATTTCCAGACAGCGTTAAAAGCGACCTCTACAACCGCTTTAGTTTAATTTCATCCCGTGTTTACCAGCAGGCGCACAAACCACAGCTGACAGCGGTGTTTTATTACCAGCTTTATCCCCGGGGAGAGCTGTGAAGACAGGAAATCACAAGTCGGTTTAAAATGTAGCCCGGAAAACGTCCAAGTCTCCGGTTGTGCTGCTCCAGAGTCAAGCTAACAGCAACAAACACGCAGCAGCTGCTACTACTGCTTCTTCCTCTTATTATTATTATTATTATTACGATATTTATTGGCGTTTGCAAGCCAACTTAAGGTGCACGCGCAACTGCTCTTCTGCACTTCTTCCATAATGGCAGCCACACGGACATTATCGCCATCTGCTGGACTGGAGTGTGGATCAAAACGGGAACTCTAGTGTGATAATATCCGGCGCTTTATAAGATGTTGACATTCCTTCGAGCCGGTTCTGCTTCAATTATGCAGCCTGTTTTTGTTTTATCATTATTTTGCACAAATCCCATCCAGAGCTTAAACGCAATGAATGTGGTGTACTCACTGTAATATCTATGAATCCAGACCCTGGTTTAGTTAACTTAATTGGTATGTGCCCTAACATTAGACCTCCACTGTTGCCCAACAACTATTTAACACACCCCAGAGAGTCACACTGCTGCACTGGGCGGCACGTTTCTTGTTCAGTAAAAATGTGAGGCCCGTCTGTTTTCAACAAACGGTTCCAAAGCTAAGAACTTGTTTTAGTTACACTACTCTGCAGCATCCTGGCTTCTCGCGTTGTTACGTGTATCACGAGATTCACGAGTCAGAACTGATGAAGCCTCTTGGATGAGAGGTGAAACGTCTTCGATCTAGATATCCAAGTCCAGTTGATTTCCAAGGTTATTTCGGTTGCGGTTTACTATGACCTGGATGACTGAGAATCTGCACAGATATATCACGAGATTCTTTTCATTGTTAGTTAGTTTTTGCTTGGAGAAATACCACCCAGCTACACAAACTGATCTGTTGATACATCAACATCAATCTCCAGGAGCCCCCAGAGTCCCAGTTATACCTTCCTTCTAAGTACACAATTTGATTGAAAATTAGCCAGAAATCTGAACCACAGCACGTTCAAACCACTGAAACTCATGGTGGGTAAAATTTATTGTAAAGGTGCATCTTATTAAACATTGATAAACAGTGTAAAGCAGTGAATCTTTGGTGCAGGTATCACTCAGAAAAAATATAACATCACTTTACACTAACAACAGATACAAAACCAACAGATTCTCCATCAATATCAACATTATATCAAACAGTGATTTTTACACTACATACAAATACTGTACAGAAAGTGAAAAGCCAGAGGTCATCAGACAGTTTGTAGTTAAAACAGGCCATGAAGAAGATTTACATGTGTTTGTGGATTTCAGTATATTGTGCAAAAATACAGTGTGCAAAGTGCCGTTATGTACAAATATGCGTGTCTGTGTGATCGTCCACATTTTGTAGAAAACATCCTGAGGAATAACTCGCTATTAAAGAGGCAATGGATAAAAATTCCACCTTTTTTTCTTCTTTGCTAAGCCAACTTTACCCTTGAGTTTTTCGTCTTCAGTATAGTGAAGGATCACAAAGGTGTTGCCTTCAATCACAACAGGCATTGTAATGCACTTCCAGCTCTGGTGGATGTTGAAAGTATTAAGGCCACTGTTAGAAAAGAGAATCTGGGATTTCAACAATAAAAACATATTTTAAGAAAAAGTCATAATGTTTTGATAAAAGTAAGAACTAAGTGACTGTTCAATGAGAAAAATGTTGATCTTTGTGACAAAATGAAATGTTGAAATGTTTTAAAATTAAATTTGTAGGTAGTACTGTCTGAAGAATAATAAGAATAAAAATGAAAATATAAAAAGTTATATTTTTGAGGTTAAGATGTAATTGGAATAAAAAAAAATCTTAATATTTTAAAATAATTGTAAAGTTTGAAAGAAGTCCTCCAATTTTATAAGAGAAGTATTATTTTTGAGAAAAAGGGGAAATAAATATTTAGAGATTAAATTGCAATTCTGAGTTAAACTAAAAACAGAGAATAAAGTTCAGATGTTTAAAGAATAAAATCGTAACATGGAGAAGAAAATCTGAATTATTAACTGCACATTTTTTTAAAAACTCACATTTTTTTGCAGTAAGTATAATACTCCAATAATACAATCTGAATATTTCAAGATTTGAGTGGCAATGTTCAAATTTAGGTTCTAAGGTAAAACAATATTGTGAGAATTCAAATTGAGGGTTGCTGAGTTTTTGATCAAATAAAGCAGTTAGTTTTGAGAATAGTTGTATTTTTTTACAGAAAATTATTTTGTGAATATAATCATTTTATGATAAAACTGTTATATTTAGTTTTTCAAAATATTGAGAGCTGTGCAAACATTTTTTATTTTATTCTCAAAATATTACAAACACTCTTATTTTTTGTCATAACATGCTTTTTTCCCCCCAAACATGGTGAAATCTCAGACATTTTTCCAGCTGTGGCCTGACCCTCGGTCACACTGAAGAACTGATGAATGTAGGAGAGGAGTCCTTGCTGTCTGGCTTTGACACCAACATGTTTACTGTTGATCTGGACATGATGTCATTTCTTTTGTGTGTCTACGTGAGAAAAGACAACACAAACGACAAAACTGATCCAGAAAGTCAACATACGTCTCAGGCTGTGGTGGGACTTACTGCTGCTGCAATCATCGCTACACTGGGCACCACATGGAAATTAACACATTAGGCTTTTATTTGAGAAGTTATGGTGTCTATGTCAAGTTAAGCTAAGTTTCCCCCAGGTCCATTTCAGATCAGGTAGCATGTTTGGATCTGTGAAGACCTGGCAACTCAAGCATTATGTTTGAGCTTTTAAGAGAGACCTTCGGAGAAAATCCACTTTCTCTCTGAGGCTGATGAACAAAGGCTAGCTTTAAAAGTGGCAGGACTTCAGCTCTCTGTGCTCCTGTGAGTGAAGGCAAACTGCTGACTGCAGCAGTTTGCATTTCCACTTCCTTATTTTCTGCTGCTCAGTCACTGCAGTATCAGCAGTTTGGGAGCAGGTTTAAAACAAACAAATGAGTTCCTGGTGTCATGACTCCCGTCTGTCTTGAAAGCAGATGTGTTTACAGACACAACATCCTGTCTATACATCCAACTGTTAGGATATTTTGCAGCTGTTTCTGCAGCTCTGTGCAGATGGGCTGAGCGGTGGTGCTCGGATCAGTTTGGGTTTTTTCAGCAGCATCCCTCTGGTTCTTTTGGTGGTGCCGTGGTGAGCAGCAGCGTTGGCGGTGAGGGAGTAGGAGCGTCCATGCATCATGCGGGCATTGAGGCCGTTGGCCATGGAGAAGGACTTGAGGTGGGACTTCAGAGCCAGTGGGAGGGGGAGTTTATCAACCAGGTGGACCGGAGTGCAGGAGACGATGGAGCGACAGCAGAGGTCCTGAAGACTCAACACTGAGAGACAGAGAGGGATGTTCATTCATCTTTAACACTGTTCTAGGCTTTCTGGTGAACTTCATAAAATGAAGAGAGTGATGGGAAGGATTGCCCATTAATTTCAGATGAATATGAGAGAAACCAAGTTACCAAGCTGCTGTGCTGCTGTGCTTGTAGTGTCCTCATGAAAGGAAGTGTTGTTTAACTTTGTTAAAATCATGAAGGGTTCAGTTTCCCATAGCAGCTGCTGTAATGGAGCTTATGTGCCTTAGAAAATGGAAAATGACCCCAAGGAACACAGTCCATTTTTTCACATAGACCAAACACAGGAAAGCTAGATGAGAGATCAAACTGAGTTAGCGAAGCAAGTGAAACAGGCTGGACAGGAATGACTTCAGCTGTCTGTGTTCACAAGGCATCATGAGGCTAAAATGTGGAAGAGTTTAAATGTCTGCATTAAGACTATTTAAAAACAAAGAGAGATAAAACAGCTATGGTTGTATGTAAAAAGGACAATTATTTACCTGTTGGTACTGACTAAATGAATTATTTTTCATTGTGCCCATGGCACAATAACATCAAATCACAGAAACTAAGTGAAGAGGGTTTTTCAGGGCTGTCCAGCAGAGAGCAGTATAGACCTGCCAATATTAAATACAAAACACTGTCTGTCAGTTGCCATGAGGACAGGCAGACGGAGACTGTGGATCTTTAAACCTGCAGCAACTGTGAACTGTCAGCAGAAACAAACTGGAAACACGACACTGATGCATCATCAAGTTGATATGTTGAACCTGAGAGCCAACAGTTGATTATTTCCACCCTTCATGTACAATGGTGTGTGTGTGTGTCCACCACTCCCTCTATCTTAGATCTGCGTTTGGTCTCCACCGCCTCCTGGGGGAAACCTCTGGCTCTGTAGCCACTAAATACTCCACTATGTCCCCCAGCTGGTCCCTGACTGGGTCTGTCTGCTGGTTGCTGCTGGGCAGGTCGTGGACAGTAGCTGTTTAGAGCATCCCCTCTGCAAACAGCTGCAGCCCATCACTACGCTATGAGAGCGGTGACAGTGAAACAGAGCAGTAATGCTGTGGGGGAAAAACAACAGTGTTGCTGGATTTGATTTAGAAAAAGTCCCTGAGTTCTTGTAATGGTTGTTTTAAATTCTCTCATTATCATTAATTATTATACACATATATTTAATATTGGTTTAAATATCGGTATATTTAAGTAATTTTTTTCTATAAAGTCTTTCACACAACATTACATCAACTGTTAAAAGTCTCTCACTTATATTACAAGAAACACAAAGTACACAGCTGCCACTGATTCTGCGAGTTATCCTGCGGCCTAAAACGTGAACCATGTTTTTTAACCATATTTATCTACATTTTGGAAAATTAAGTAAGCTGAATTAGCTATTAGCACTTCCTGTGTGCAGTGTACCCATGGATGTACAGACAACTATTAGTGGATCACTGAGATACTGAAAACAACTGAAAAGCGTGAGGATTCTCAGGCAGGTTCAGCAGCCTCTTTTCCTCAGATTTCTTAGTGGATTTATGGACGGTTGTTCATGAACATCAGAGGTAATGAGATCCTCAGGAAGTGAAAGTCACAATGAATCTAAAATGTGTTTCATACTGGTGTGCTCAGATTTGACTGTGCAATGTCTTTATAACTTGTGATTTTTAGCACCAGTTGTAGGCTCTGTGGGTTTCACAGTAGCTGTAGTGATGTAATAAAGAGAGAGCCGAGAGAAGAGGGGATGCTCAGGGTCACAGGGTAACGTAAGGGCTATAGGTGCATTTCCAAGTTAAAACACTGTGTTAAATTTCTGCTTAAGTAGCAATAAACCTCCCACGCATGTATCCAATCACAATCCTGTGTCTGTACTTGCAGTAACACATATGTATGTACTGTGGGGCTCTATGGGTTTCACAGTAGCAGTAGTAGAGCTGTGTGTATGCAGTGACAGTCTTATGTATGTATGTGTGCTGACAAACCTTTATTGGGTCTCCACAGCCGCTCCATGCCGTGTCTCATCAGAACGATGCGGGCGAGCTCGGTGAAAGACTCAGTGATGTTGAAGTTACACAGTGGGCTCACCTCGAAGAAAGTGACGCCCAGCTTCTCAGCGTACACCTGCGCCTGCTCCGTGGTCACCTTACGCTTGTAGGCCAGGTGGAGACGGTTCCCAACAAGGATCTTAGGCACCCCTGGAGCATGCTGGGTAAACAGAACACAGACAAGGTAAGATTTTAACAGGAACATGTGGCATTTAGTGGCAGGTTGTTCAGCTGAATGGTGAATGGGTTTAAACAAATAAAACCAAATGTAAATACTATGTAAGAAGAGACAGATTTATTTTCAGCCTTGAGCCTTACCACATAGTAATAACTCAAGGCAACCTGCATGGGTATATCCACATTTTTTATTAATTGCTGTCATCTCACATCCATATCACGGAGGCTGGATGGTAAAATGTTTAGAACTTGTATTCATATTGTAGTGTTACCTCTGGGTCAGACCACCTCTCCTCAGATTTACAGTGCATGGTCAGAAATTAGCAAATGTTTTACTATACATTAATTCTTTATCAGAACTGTGAAATATTTTTTTTTTTTTTTTTTTTTTTTTAAATCTAAAGCATACAACATTTTTCAATACATTTAATTCAATGGTAATGTTTCCTTTTTCATTTCAGGTTTTGTTTGTAATGTCCAACTCTAAACCAGCTGCCTTGGCTCCACTGTACACTGTCCTGCTGGGTTGGTGCAAGTTAAAGAAGATTATTCAAAGAGAAACTGTAGCCTACTGGCTACACCACAGCCCAGAGTGACTGGAGAACGTTACCCACCAAGAAATCTGGGTAAACATGTAGACGATCAAAAGACAAAATTGATCAAATAAAGACCCTGCTCAGGACCAGAACCCTGGTGTGTGCTGTTTTCTTGACATGCAGCAGTGTGTGTTGCTGGTGGGGACTCATTCAGTGGTCAGTCTATTAAATAATATCTAAACGCAAACAATGTGAAAAATCACTGCTGATATCACGATAAAACAGAGACTAACCTCATCTATCTCTTTGATCCACCTGTCGATTCCATCAAAGGACCAACGGTTGGCAATGTCGTACACCAGAATAACTCCCTGAGCCACAGAGGAGGAAGGAAAGGCAAAAAGAAATGTTTTCACACATTATTATTACAAGCTAACCATTTAGGACAAATGGAATCGCCATTAAACAAATTAACCCCTTGTAAGCCAATGGTAAAAATAACATCAGTCAAGTTTGCATCCAAATATAGTATACATTTTTCTAAGTCTGTTTCCTTTTTGTCCACAACCTTTTTTTTATAAATGCATCTCCTTTTTTCTGAAGCTTGTTTTGTTATAATTGAAAAGGTGCCTAAAACAGGTGGAAGGAATCAAGCTAACTGTTATGCAAAGTGCATTGATGACCATGACATTATTCATTCACTGCTCACCTACGATATGGAATTAGCAGTCATAAATCTGTTTTTTTGTGAGGAAATAGCTTGTCAGCTCGGCAGCACCAAAAAGACAAGAATGTCTACAAAGACACAAAAGGCTACAGAGACTCAAAACAGACAAAGCTATCAATGTCTTTGTAAACACATACTAAGACTTCTAAACTTCTAAAACCTTTTTGAGGGAACTAATTTTGGTGCTTTTTAATCCAGGAAGACCTGCAGATATTCTGACACAATAAGATTCCTGATCTGGTTTTCGGCTCACTGTGGGGATGCTATCACTGTTGCCATGGTGATATTTCCTCTCTACCCACTAATAGCCTGATGAGTGATGATAACAGCACAGTTTTATTCAATGAAGACTCTTTTTCCTCCTGTGGGAACAAAACAAAGCAGACCATGGCTGTTTGATGTGTGGGATGAGTTTCTTCACACATCCTCTCATTGCTCAGTCTGTCTGAGGTCAGGATTACCACACAGTAAAACTCTGCTGAGTTTCAATCCAATGAAATGAACAGACAAGTAGAAAACAGCTTCCAGTCAGCTCAGAGATCACAAATAGTTCTGACATGTTTAAAATATCTGGACTCAGATGTTTGAGTAAAGTCTGCAGGAATCTGACTGAGGAAGCACAACAGGCTAAACCTACATCTTCGCATTTATGAGTCTAAACTACTGACTGTTGACAACATCAACACGTAGCTATCCAACAGTAGGTAGTAAAAAACGTGGTAAAACATCAGCTGGGTTAAGCTATTGGCCATGCAACTCCAGCTAACAGAACAGTAAGGCTAAACTGCCAGAAATCCAACCTCAGTAATGCTAACATCACATTATTAGGGCTAAGCATCTACTACAATGTAAAAAGCTAACCCAACATTAGCTGAGTTAAGCCTCAGCTACAATGTGTAAAGCTATGAGCTGGGCTGTCAAAACATCAGCTATAATGGACACATGCATTTTATAAATGCAACACTTTTGTGTTTGCTATTTTATAAAGGCAACACTTTTGTGTTTGCCCCCATTTTTCATGAGCTGAACTCAAAGATCTATGGCTTGTTCTATGTACACAAAAGGCCTATTTCTCT